TGTGTATTTGCAGCACTATATATAATAGCAAAAAACTGGAAATTCTCCAGTATCCAAAAGATTCCACATACACACTGAAATATTATGCTCTGTAATTTAAAAAAAAAAAAAATCAAGAAAACAGGAAACTATACATTGTTATGAAAAGATCCCCAGGGTATCTTATACAGCGGGGAAGGAAAAAAAAGTAAAGATGTGGAATAGTGTATTTGCTATTTTTTGTATAAGAGGAAAAAGAAAACATATTCATACTTGCTAATATTGTATCTACATTTCAAAAACTTTGGAAAGATAGGTCAAGCACAGTGGTTCATGTCTGTAATCCCAGGACCTTGGGAGGCCGATGTAGCCAGATCTCTTGAGGCCAGGAGTTAAAGACCAGCCTGGCCAACATGGTGAAAATCCATCTCTACTAAAAACACAAAAATTAGCCAGGTGTGGTGGCAGGTGTCTGTAATCCCAGTACGAGAATTGCTTGAACCCAGGAGGCAGAGGTTGCAGTTAGCCGAGTTCATTGCCACTGCACTCCAGCCTGGGTGGCAGAGGAGACTCTGTCTCAAAAAAAAAAAGAAAGAAAGAAAAAACTTTGGAAAGATACACAAAAAACTAACAAGCTAACTGGCACAGTGGCTCACGCCACCTAGCACTTTGGGAGACTGAAGTGGGAGGATGGCTTGAACCCAGGAGCTCGGGACTAGCTTTGGCAACATAGTGAGACCCTGTCTATACAAAAAAATTAAAAGTTAGCCAGGCATGGCGGCTCGTAGTTTCCACTACTCAGGGAACTGAGGTGGGAGGATTTCTTGCGCCTAAGAGGCTTAGGCTACAGTGAACTGTGATTGTGCCCCTGCATTCCAGCCTGGGAGAGAGTGAGACTCCGTCTCAATACAAAAAAACAAACAAGGCTGGACACAGTGGCTTATACCTGTAATCCCAGTACTTTGGGACACTGAGGCAGGCAGGTTGCTTGAGTCTAGAAATTCAGAACCAGCCTGGGTAACATGGCAAAACCCCATCTCCACTGAAAATAAAAAAAACAAAAAACTAACCATGGGTGCCTGTAGTCCTAGCTACTTGGGAGGCTAAGGTAGGAGAATCACCTGATTCCAGAAGGTTGAGGCTGCAGTGACCAAGATTGCACCACTGCACTCCAACCTGGGCAACTGAAGTGAGACTCTTTCTCAAAAACAAAACAAAACACAACAAAAAAACAACTAACAAGCATAGTTACTTATAAGGGATATAGGCAGAGGGAACAATAGTGTGGTCAAATGTTAAGAGCTAAACTTCTCAATGTATTTTTAAATTGATTTGATGTTTGAACCATGTGAATATGTTGCCTTTTCAAAACAAACAATAAATAAAATGTAACTTAAAAAATACAAAAGAAAAATAAAAATTAAAAATTAAAAAAAAACAAAAACAAAAACAAAAGAAACAGACCCTTCAAATAAACAGAAAGTTGGGCAGTAAGAAAAAAAGTTTAAAAAATAAAAAATGAAGAAACAGACCCTTAGAGTAAGTAGTTAAAGCAATGTATGAAAACCAGTTTTCATTTTAAAATTCATCTGAGCTCTTTAATCTTTTTCAACATACTAAATACTAAAGATAATTTTGGTTCTTTCAGAATTTTAGCCCCAGCAAATTATTAGAATATCAATTTTGAAAATGGATAATGACTTCAGCAATATAGTACTATAAATACACATGACTTGAGAATATTTAATAGCTGACTTTTCAGACATCAAATACACAAAACTGATAACTTCACTAATTTTTTAAAAATTGGAAAAAAAATTTTTCCAAATGGCTCATCAAAATGAATAACCTCAACCATTTTCCCCCAGTATCCTTGAAAGTCATATCAATGGTTTGTTGAGACATTTTATATCCAAGTCAAATTCTGGTTGAATATGCAAATCAAGACGGCCTAAAAAGGGAAATAATGACAAGCAAGAATGAAGAGAAATGAATGAATCCAGCACAACAAAACAAAACAAAAATCACTTACAAACCCTAGCCTGTAAAGCCACATGTAAAAAAAGGAAGCAAAAAAAAAAAAAAAAAAAAAAGAACTACCCATGCTAAATCTAACAGCTAACATTTACTATTTACTATGTTCCAGGTACTGTGTACTATTAACTTTTTCACCAAAGTACATTTACATTTAAAGGCCAATAACACAATTAGGAAACAGAGAGTTAAGGGAGATTAAACCATATCAGTTGAGGATAAGTAGAAAAACTCAAAGAAGACCAAAAAAAACCCCAAAAAAAAACTTGCCACGCAGGTCTATTAAGAAACTACTGAATCCCTTGATAAATAAGGTTATAAGATATTGAAATTACAAGCGTTTAATACTACACTTGTTGGAAAAGTTTAGTAACAGCAAATGATCATTACAGTCAACTGTAATTCAGAAATAAAAAGGTATGTTATTAAAAATATGAATACACAAAGATAAAACACATGGCAAAATGTTAACACTATTCTTTCAACTTTCTTTTTTTTTGAGACAGGGTCTCACTCTGTCACCCAGGCTGGAGTGCAGTGGTGCAAGCTCAGCTCACAGCAACCTCGCCTCCCAGGCTCAAGTGATCCTCTCACTTCAGCCTCCTGAGTAGCTGAGACTACAGGCTAATTTTTTGTATTTTTTAGAGATGGGGCTCTTGTCCAGGGTTGTCTCGAACTCATGAGCTCAAGCAACACACTACCTCAGCCTCCCAAAGTGTTGGGATTACAGGCATGAGCCACCACGCCCGGCCTCAATTTTTCTTTATGCTTCAAAATGTTCACATAAAAAGTGTGGAAAAAAAGTATCATTGTGTTCCTATCAGTATCTATGAGTCACAGTATTTCTCATCAAGGAAAGAAAGGGACATTTAATTTTCAGAGGCATAAAAAGACAAGGAAAACACGAGTGAAAAGACTGCCTGTGAATTCATTTTTCAGAGACACAGGCAAAACCTGAAAAGATAAAGCACTAGACAGATGAAACATATCCACTGCATAGAAAATGATTTGACAGGTATTTCAAATACATCTCTATTAGGTCCTCTTCATCATTACTTCTGGTTCTTCTTCTTTTTTTTTTTTTTTTGTTTTATAAAGATGGGGTTTTACCATGTTGGTCAGGCTGGTCTTGAACTCCAGACCTCAGGTGATCCACCCGCCTTGGCCTCCAAAGTACTTGGATTACAGGTGTGAGCCACCACGCCCAGCCACTTCTGGTTATTCTTATACTTCTACCATTAATCATACTGTTGAAAACACTAATGGCGTACCATTTTACTAAGCAGAAAGAGGCCAACTTCTTTGCTTTATAAATGAAAAACTATCATTTTGAGGCTTTTATTTTTAAAAGTTAAAATGATCAAACTATTTAAAATTTTCATTTCTACATCAGCTACGTCCTTCCAATCACCTTTGTATGCAAACCCGACTTTAGTGTTTGTTCACTTACAAACTAAATTTTTTTTGCACCAACATCGTTAAAAAAAAGAATACTGTCTCACATACAGGTTCTTGTTGCAAAACATTACGTAACAAAGAACTTCCTGTCGAATGACTAACTGGGTAAGAATATCCTATATCCTCTGGGACCTCAGAAATATTATCATTCATTAATCAATTAAGCTTGTGAAAATTCATACAGAGTATCATCATCTCCAATACATTGTGTAAGAGTTCACTTATATGATCAATTTCACCATCATAAAGTGCTACTCTCTCTGCATTCATCTTCTGATATGTCTGAATTGTGAAACATCTTCCTCTGTCAATTTTCTTCTCTTTGCCATTATGAACAGAGAATGAAAAATTCTATATTCTTAATTGTGGTCAATGAAAGCTACAAAAAGAGAAAAATAAAAGCTACAAAGATAGAGACTCCAGACTTGTTTTGCACCTCCTTAAAAGATGACACAAGACTCTATACAACACACAAAGAAACAGAAGGATGCTAAATACTGATGATTTATTTCTCTACTGCATCATCCTTCTAGGAAACCGCATCATTCTTCACTTACTATTCTAGTCTAGCTGGGAATACTCAGTTCTCACTATCTGCAGTAGATATGCCCTAAAAAGTCACCATGAACACTGACTTAACAAATATTGAATCATTGCCCCTAAGGAAAATACAAGGTAAGGTTCCCGCAAGCCTCTGGTCAGAACATTTTTGTCAACCGACAAATATATAATCTTATTTTAGGAGTGTTTCTGTTTAAAAACATCTAATTTAGAATGTATTTAAGCACTACACTTGGGGGCCTTTTTTTTTTTTTTTTTTTTTTTTTTGAGACCAGGTCTCTCTCATCCAGGATGGAGTACAGTGGAGAAATCATAGTTCACTGCAGCAGCAACCTCCCAGGCTCAGGTAATCTTCCTGCTTCAGCCTCCTAAGTAGCTGAGACCACAAACATGCGCCACCACACCCCACTAATTTTTAAATTATTTGTAGAGATGGGGTCTCCCTATGTGGCCCAGGCTGGTCTCGAACTCCTAGACTCAAGTAATCCTCCCAATGTGCTACGATTACAGGTTTGAGCTACAGCACCCAGCCTAGGGGCCATTTTAAACACCAAATCACCAACAAGAAGTGCAAAATATGCAAAAAAAAAAAAAAAAAAAAAAAAAAAAAAGTGGCATTAAATATATCGCGAAAAGGCCACTTGTTTGCAATGACAGTGAAAACAAAAAAGCAGAGCACTGCCTTGAACCTCCACTGGTAAAGTGCACATCTGCTGACTCAAGTATCTGGCAGCTCCATGCATGCCCACGTCCAGGAATGACCACAAACTAAACATTAATCATTTTATACAGAGAACAAAAATCTCTGTTGATGTTTTAAGTTAACAAGAT